GTGTGTGTGTGTGTGTGTGTGTGTGATTTTTCTTTAATTATTAAAAAAAGGAAGTGACAGCATGCCAGCTATTGCAAAGAAGGCTGGGTGGTGTTAAATAGCCCTGACAGTAGCCATGAGCTACTTCAATCATCTAGCACCAGAAGATAAGCCACCTGCCCATGGTTCATGCCAAACTAAGCTATGCATATTGTTCAGATATGTTCCTTGTTGTCTTGATGTTCAACAGAATCCCCATTTTCCCAGCCAAACTGGCCTACCTGATCTCCAGCTTATTATCTACTGCCACTTGCTTGTGCCAGAATCAGCACTTAGCTGTAGCCTTTGTCCTGACATATCCTTCCTCTTGAAATTCCTCAAGCTTTTAAAACGAGCTTTGTATCTCCTGCTTTTAAAGTCCTAAGAGATAATAAGAGATCAATAGTTTATATTCTGTGTAAATAGCATTTTAAGTTCTCCAATAGCAGAGTGAAAAGGAAGTTGAAACGAGCTAGACATATAACAGCCAAACATTTGGACGGTAATATAAATAATAATATAATAAACTGTCCAATTCAGCAATTATCCTCAGTGAACAATGGAATAAGTGAAGACACACTGAACAATTGCTTAGCTAATAGCTATTTTTAAGTGGACTGGATTTTTAAAGATTTGTAAGAATTATTGACATAAAACACTAGCATTAACAGGAAAATCCTTTTGAAAAAGAAGTATATTACTGTACCAGATCACAGTAGCTTGTTCAGATAACCATGGTGCTGACTACTTTACATAACTATAGCGTTTACATGTATTTAAAACTCATAATACTCTGCAAGACTGTACACTGATAATGGTCATAGGGAAAGCAGAATGAACTTTGAAAGTGGTATGACCAGGCCAAGGTACAGTTTAAAGTTATGGACAAAACTTTGATATTGCTGTGGTTCTGGACCATAGTATAAAAATAAAGCTCTCCATGTACTGGACACATACAAGCCCCAACAAAATGCTGCAGTGACTGCCTGGAGACACTACTAACTTCAGGAACATCCACAGCTATCCAGATAAACTGTTCTGCTTTGATACAAAATAAAATACAGATATCAAGCAAACAATTTGGCCTACAGCCAAGATATAACCTTACCTCTAAAGAAGGAGGAGGGAGAACTGGAACAGTTCAGGAGAAATGCTTATGGAAAGAGTGGTAGGAATGTAATGAAGGGGGGGGGGGAACCAAAAGGAAGGAATCTGCTAGGAGATGACACACACTCACATGAACATAAAAGAAAGAGAAAGCTGAGA